CACACTTTTCACTGTATCGCTTCCATGGGATGACCTAGCACTTACACAATGATTAAAAGAATTCATGTCATGATTTTTTCGACAAGTTCTATGCTGGATGTCGACTACCTTACACAACCCTCCACTTTTCACATTTGGGCTTGAGAGCGGCGATGACAGTATTAAACAACACACTTTTCACTGTATTCAGACAATATAGCACGTCGCTTTCAGGGGATGACCTAACACTTACACAATGATTAAAAGGATTCATATTATGATTTTTTCAACAAGTTTTATTGTGGTTGTCGACGACGTTACACAACTCTCCACTTTTCACATTCGGGCTTGGAGCGACGATGACAGTATTAAACAACAAAACTCATAACAATCAAAAATTAAAACAAAAATTTAACGTACAATATCTAAGTTTGAATCATAAACATGTCAAATTCAAATTTCAAAACGATAGTTGTCATGACAACATTTATGCATGCGTGCAACATCCCGCTCAGCTAGAGCAAACCCGGGATGTTTCTCACAGGGCTATTTGGGAGGATCTGAACTAGTTCAGTTCAAGTTTTTCTAAACCCTAACGGGTTGGCATGCTTTTTTAGGGCTTATGTTTTCAGGGCTTATGTTTACTTGCTTTAATTATGATTTTGATTTCTTTGGGAGTTCTATTATAAATATTTTGTGTGGACAGGTACGAGGGATTTTTGCTTTTGGTTATGTTATTTGGAGACTAATCTATATATCTTCCAGTGGTGAAATTGTATCTTAAAGAGAGGAGGTGGATCATCTTTCCTATCATCCATACCTTACTGAAAGTGTTGTGTATTTCTCCGCATTCTTATCAGCCTGACATTAGCAATGCTAGATTTTCCTCCAATCCTTGTAAATTCTTAGGTTTTTCTTCACTATTCTTCAAACATCCCCGACATTTATCGCAATCCGCCTCCACCTCCTAGGAATTCTAAAACGATGTCGAACTTTGTGTTATGACAACAGCAGAATTTAGGATTGGCAGCATAAATCGAAAATGCTTGCTCCACTTGTTAAGAATCTTCTCTAATATTTCATTGCATTAATTTGGCATGCATGGTCACATATCTCCTAAAACCTATATCAAACACAAAAACAACAGAATGCATAGATTTTAAAAGACAATGAAGGTCAACATAAAAATTGTAAAAAATAACCATGATATTTAAATCAATTTATACATAAACAAATAAAAAATAAATATGGTAATGCATGCAAGCAACATATGGAAAAACATTGACCGGAATGCCCATTGAGCATTGGGCAGCGCTCCACATCTTGTCTATTTGTCACTACATCGAACAATGGATGTATGAGGTCAGTGGGATTATAAATGAAAGTGACAACAAAATTATCATCACCTCTCTCCAAGAAGCTAAGGATTCCAGCACTTGGAGGCACAGATTGAAGACATGGAAGATCTCTCCTTTCTAAATTCGTTTAAGCAGATTCTTTTCCAACATATAGATAGAAAAATTTAATTGCTCATACATGTGTCTGTTGACCTCATTTTGAGATCATTACTTTTTTCCTTAGGATCTTAGGGTCTAGTTCTAGAGGTTCCTATTGACTATATTAAAAAACTAGAACTGGGACCCACCCTTTTTTAGAAATTTCAGCCACCACCTATTTCTCTCTCTTATGATGTCTCGCATTGATGATCTCAAAACTATCGTCCTATGGTCGAGTGGTAAAGGACTATCATGTAGAGACTCAAGGAGAAGTTCTCAATAGGACCTCAAGCCTTTGGAAAACTTCTTCAGGATTTTATCATAACACACACACAAAATGCACAAAATTCACTAAGTTGCACAACAAGAGACTTAAATTGAGCCTACAACATAGGTAAAAATGCAAACTTCTCCGGACGACCTCCGACAACAAAATAGGTTGCGTCAACGCGTCCGGGACACCAATTTTAGCTAGGAAAGACACCCATATTGTCATAAATCCGCACAAGGGCAAATTGCACGTAAATCGATGAATTTGTCAAAACGACATCTAGCGATGAAACGGAACGCGCCAGCACGTCCGGAACGTCAAAATTATTTAAAGAGAATGTTCAATTTTTTTTACAATCTGACACACGAATGAAAATGCATAAATCAATTTTTATTTTTAAAATATTAAATACTTTTATATTTATTTCATTGTTTATTTAAATTTTTTTTTAAACCCTAAACCCTCTACCCGCACATTTAACCCATCCCGTGGCTCGATCAGTCGCTTGGCTCACCCCTCTCGCGTGCCCTAGGTTCCATGGCTGATCCACGCGGCGAGCTCTCCCCCCCTCTCGACTCTTCCCCTTCTTCACGTGGTCGCTCGACCTTTTGGATTTCCAATTGCAAGGGCCGATCTGGCCAACTCTTCTTCTTCTCGAAGTTCTACTGTCTCCCTCTTTACTGTGGCGATTATTGCATCGTCGTTTGATTCGCTTACCAGTGAGGCTGGTTGGTGGCTGTCCCTTTCTCTGCTCTACCCATAAAATAGCTTCTTAGTGTACTATTTTGGGTTGTTGAAAATTTTTTGAGAGAAAGGGAGGCTGGAGTTTTTACTGTCTGAGGCTTTAGGTGGAGAAGTTCTACCGAAATTTCTTCCTAACTAGGTTCTTGGGCGTTGGGAGTTCAAAGCATTCATGGGTTGTTGTTTTCTGAAGCTTTTAAGAAGGGAAGCTTTGCCGAAGTCCTCTCTAGGGTAGATTCTTATGTGCTGGGAGGGCTGGGAGTTTGAATGATTTCTTATTTGCTGTCTCTCGAAGCTTTTAGGAAGAAGATTGTTGTGGAAGTGATTTTCTTGAATCTGTCTTATAGTTTTTGCTTTAAGTCTGCATTAAAAAGGTATTCCCCTTCTTTTTTTCTATTCTGCACTATTTCGGATGACATCAAAAAATATTTATTTTCTCTTCTAAAGCATGTGAAAGCAAGATTTGGGCTTGTTCTGAAATTTAAGCATGAAAAAGTTTCTAGAAAAAACAAAATGTAGCACGATACGGTTGCCTTCTTTTCTTTTTCTGCTCAAGATACATGAAATGCATGTTATGGAAGTTTTAGTTTTTGTTCTATGGAATACATGTTAGGAAGAAAATGCAAAGTTGAAGTTTTCTTTTTTTTATACTTATCTAAGTGGATGTCGGAATTAGTTTCAAAGATGGATGACATATTGGCTCTAAAGATTCTTGCATACTTATATGTTTCTTGTCATTTATTCTTATTTGAAACAAACGCTGGCACAATACTTTGAGATATCAGGTTCCAAGGGGAAATTTTCTCTGTTTTTGACCCATTTGAAGGGCTCGGTTTTGGCTCTGTTAGATGGGAATTATTGATAAAAATATTCTCTTTTTGTCCTTATGTTGGGCTCGGTTTGCCCATGTGATGGTTCGGTTTTGGCTTCATGTTAACTGGAAATTGTATTTTGTTTTGACCCATTTGGAAAGGTTTCTTTTTTTTTTTTTTTGCTTCATTTTGAATTGAATACTAGTTGAGATGTATGGCTCTATTTTGCCTTTCTAGTGGGCTCGATTTGGCCTGCGGATTGGGCTTGATTTTTGCATAAGAATTGGCTGATATACTCCTTTTGTTGAGCTTTGTTTATCTGTCATGACCTTTTTATTTTTGTTGCCCCTATGTTAGGCTCGGATTACCCCTATGTTGGTCTCGATTTTAGCTTATTTAAGTTGAATTCCTGCTTCCTGCTGGAAATGCTGATTTGTTTTTCCCCACTTGGTCGGTGAGATTTTGGCTTAAACTATATCCTTTTCTCTAGCCTTTATATCGAGATTAATCGAATTTGAAACAGGGAATTGGTTTAGCTTAAAAGCTTATCTGCTAGCTCCCTTTGAAACCATGTTTTATTTTTGTCCCACCTTGTGGGCTCGGGTATGCCTGTTGTGGTTCTCTGTTTTGCTCTTCTTCATGGGCTCGGGCTGACTGGCCACGGTTTCCTATCTTGCCCCTTTGTTGGGCTCGGTTGGGTTGGAAATTCTTGATATGACGTTCCTTTTGAGATTTTTATTGGTAATCAAATTTGTCATCCAATAATTCATGAATTTCAATGTCTACCTCTATGTGGGGATGTTTGATACAAGTTAACTGACTCACTATCATGTCTCATATGATGAAAAGAGTTTTAGTTCTAATGATCTATAAGAGCTTTTCCATTCACTCTCTTATGTATATCAAAATGGCAATATCTATGGTGGCTTTCTTTTATTGTCTCTGTCCGTGAGTTTAATCTTAAGGCTGGTTTGATCTTTTTGTGGTCCCTGTCGTGAACATCCTAGTGTCTTATTTGGTTGTTCTCTGCTGCCTCTAGCTGTGCGCCTTCACATGTAGTTCCTCTATGTTAAATGTGATTATTTTGGGACTTGTTTTTCTCCTCTCCGCAAAATGTACCAAATACGACCAAGGAAAAATATTACAATAAAGCAAGAGATAATAGGATTAACAAGTTCCTACAAAGTCCATGATGAGTATGAACCAAAAAGTATGACAAGGATTCTCACTGGATATGAACAATACATAACACTCAATGATGAAGTTGATTAAAAGAAAAAAGAGTAACTTATTTTTTGTAAGAAGTTAAAGTATCTAATTTGAGCGTCTTCCAGTCACAGTTTCAAGGGTGCATGCTAAACAGACGCAAAATTCAAGATCAAAGAATCTGCCACGTCTACATTAACAACTAGGTTTCAGCGGTGAATTAACCATATGAATGAATCAGGTAGCAAATCAAGACATTATAATGCCGACAGTTTAAAACAAAATGCAGTAAAGTGTTCATATGCCTGACCATAATCACGAAAGAGAGCTCATGATACCATTAACATCTACATCCTGAAAATGCACATCAAATGAGTGTGACACTCCCGAGCATGCATTTAGCAAACTATGAATTAGTTCACAGTAATAAAGAAGACTAAATATAAACATAGTCGCCTGAAAAGTAGATGGCCTTTGAATGTCAAGGAATCTGACCAGTATGATCAATGCAAACTTTCTATCCATCACAGTTTTCTTTGGTAGTCTATTTCTTTGAAGATCTTCTTGACTTTCTACTGCTGTACTCATCTTTACTCCCGCTATCCTATCAGGTAAAAAAAGAAAACATTACAGTTATTCCAAATTCTGCAAAAGTTTCAACCATCAAGCCTGTGTGGCTTAACATGATGTATAACCAAAGATTAGCAGACACTGCATTTTTTAATCAAGTTCCAAAAAAGAAATTTTTAGGAAATTTTAACCAGAAGAAACTTAAAAAAGCACATCACATTGCTTTAAAATGAAAATAAAGAACACAAAAATGTGAACTCGGATATTAATTAACAATAGCATGCGAGTGGAAAAGATTATTTTCAAGGTGTATTATAACAACATCCAATCCACGGATATAACACCAAAAAAAATGAGTAATCAGGCAAAATTTTGATGAATTTAAGATATACTCAAATTTCTTATCTCACGAAATTTAAGCGAAACAATTTTAAGAAATTTTACATGTGAAATCGATCAATTGGATATAAAGCATTATGCATGAATTATAAGCCTCCTACTTCTACAAAACAAAGGGGAGGGGGAGGGTAAGAAGAATCAAGAAGAAAGCCTTTCCAAAAGAAGTCAAGTGTGGAAAGTGCGTGAGGCAGCCCTGGATCATGAGGGTTTGCGATCTGCTTCATGTTCCCGCGTGCGGGATCAAGATCCCCTCCCCCCCGCGCTGTCCAGCGATCCCGTCCCACTCTCCCGCAAAGCTTTACAATTCGTCTTTCCTGCGTAAATGAAGCGCCCGTAATCGGTCTCCTAGGGTTGGGAGAGCTTTGACTTCATAGGTCGAAGCTTCCATTTCATTGTCAGCCACCGTAGATCCCCCTAGCGACTGCATTATCGCCTGAGGTATTTGAGGGTCTTCCCCAGCTTGCTAGCAAATGTCCATATAGATCTGTCCTCTTGAGGTCGTGAACCACGCTTAAAATATTGAATCCTTTCAAAGTAGCCCACGATCAGTTCAAATGGGCGTGCAGTGACAGTAATATGACCCTTCTCGCACAACTGTGGTGCTGCTGGTGCGGCATCGACCTGACAAGACCTCGGTCATATCTGTCCGATATTTGGGGTGGGTGTCTCAGTCCTCTTGTCTGATGTCATTAATAAAACTGATTCCACTAATATTATTTTTGTCCCTGTATGCTCTCTGACTCTCTCGATCACGGACGAAAGTAACCTCTTCTTAGTTTTTGTCATCAAGCTATGCTAGTCTCCACTGTAGAAGACGGATTTCTCGTTGAATGTCTTCCAGGGTGAAGTCCGGCATACCTCTTTGAGGTCGCATGGCTGGGGTTGGGAATCGTCAAGAAAACATTTGTTGGAGTTAACTTGGGTAGAGGGAGATGTTAGAGGACTTTAGGATGGGACTAGGGTTGTACTAGCTCTGATACCAAATGATACTGAAATTAATAGAGAAAACATTGGAAACCAAAAAAAAATAAACTTTCATTAATATTAAAATAGAGTTATAACATGACTCGAATAGAAAAACAGCACAAACATAAAACTACATCAACAAACGCTACTAATTGTACCCAAAAGATGGTGGAGGTTGGCTAGAGGGATCGAGATGATTGGAAGAGGTGACAACAGTCACGAAAGGCGGGTGCTAGCGAAGGGAAGGGTTGTAGGTGATCCACAGCGGCACTGGGGTGGTTGGAGGGGCTTGAAGAGAGTTAGGTAGGCGGACAGCTGTAATAATTTCTTGGAAGGAAAATGGTCGAGTGTCAGGATGACAAAGGTAGAGTTCGAGGTTGAGAAGTGGAGAGGAGAGAGTTTGAAAAGGCTATCAAAAGAGCATACGTTCACCACCTCAGAGAAGATATAGCCAAAGCACCACCACTCCCTCGAATACAACCCACAAAAGGAAAAGATGCTCCACATAAGAGATTGACTAAGGCCCCGTTTGGGGCGGCTTATTGGGAGCGGCGACGTTTTGAAAACGTTGTCTCCCTGTTTGTTTAACACGTTCGCACTGGCGTTCCTCTCCCGCACTGTGTCGCGTTGGTTAAATTCCTTTACTCCTTCGACGATGTCTGAGCTCCGCGTCCCGCGTTGCCCTAGAAATTCCGGAGGTGCCCTCGATCTCCCTTGCCTCCTCCCTCGCTGGTTTCCTTTCTGGTTCGTCGCCCTAAAGGAGATCAAACCTTCTTCCTTCGAAATCTTTGTTCCTGATCATCAGGTATCCTTTTGATTACCTTAGTTGTGAGCCGTGGGATGTTTTCTTCTCTGATCTTCTCTCTGAGCAGTGTTGATGCATGAAATGAAAATTTTTATCTTTTTCAGGGGAAATATGATGAGATTAAGGGTTTTTAGGTGTTGCCCAGTTTAGATCTATGACATTAGTTGTTTTGGGGATCCTGTGGCTTCTGGCATTTTCTCTGGCTTTTCGGTTTTACGCATGTTGAGAGTTGTTTTGAGGATCCTGTGGCTTCTGCAATTTTCTCTGATTTTTTGGTTTTACGCCTCTTGAGAGTTGTTTTGGGGATCCTGTGGCTTCTGGCATATTCTCTAGTTTTCGGTTTTATGTCTGTTGAGATATGTTTCATTTTCTATGCCCCGATATTTTAGCATTTTAACTGATTGTTGGATTTGGGTTGCTAGTTGTGATCCTGGATTTGGTTTTAAGCATCTGTTTTGTGGTTTTGGCGATCCTGGATTTGGTTTAGGTGTGGCTTGTGTGGTGGCAAATTATACACTGAAATTATACACTGACGTAATTTGACATAAGGGAGTTTGGATTTGGCTATACAGTGATTTTCCTCAGTGGAAATATTGTTAATCCCTCCTCAGTGGAAATGTCTTGGTGCGGTTTGTCTCAGTCCCTATGACATTAGCTGTCTTGGTGCGGTTTGATCTATGACATTAGTTGTCTTGATGCGGTTTGCCTCAGTGGAAATGTTGTTAATCCCTACAGCAAGGAAATGCTGTGAATTTATGGTGCGGTTTGATCTATGGCATTAGTTGTGTTAAGGATCATTGTTGACCTTTTGTAGCATTTGAGGGAATGTTGTGAATTTCGCTTTGTTCAAATGTCTGCATTATGGGTTCTGAAGCCTGCTATATGGGTTCAAATGGCTGATTTATGTGTTCTTATGCATGCTGTAGGGATTTTCACCATTGATCAGATGCAAATCGAGAAAGGATTTATGGGTTCTTATGTCTGTTGTGGGTATATTGTTCAAGTGCAGTATCAAAAGAGATTTATCTATCATTCGGTTTTTAGCACATATGAAAAGAGGAAGAATGGAAACATGTTTGATTTTTATTTGTTAGTTGAGAAATTTTTATTTTCACCAAAGGGAGAAATGGAAGGAAGAATTGCAAGTTGAATTATTCTCCCTTTATAATTATGTAACAGTATACAATTGCATAATAAAATTTTTCGGTGTCTTACTATGGATGTAGATCATTGACCAAACAACATAATTGATTTCTCTTTATATATTGAG